TTATTTTTCTTTAATCTTATATATATACATTTTTTTGTTAGGAGTACTTGTACTCAATTAAAATACAACAAAAATGAATATAAAAACGCAGTTACCTTATTTCCCTTAGCACAATATCCTTGTAGAAAATCTATGCAAATTGGAGTGTTTGAAGATACTTTAACATGAAGATAAGGACAGGCATCTCTTGTGCAACAGCCTTCGAGAAAGTACTTGCATGTAGGCATTTTCTCAGGCCCAACGTCATGCGATAAAGTACATTTGTCTAAGAAACACTTCCCTTGCAGAAAACTGAATATATTTAAGAAATTTCACTGTTCAACATTTGACTTTCCAAATTACTTACGTTATCAAAAATAAATAATATATATTATTTTGCAATTTTTTTATACTATCATATTGCAGTTGTAACATGTACTATACATGAAACTGAGTCTATGAGAATAAATATATTTGATATTTCAGATATTGACTTACTTTTTGCAGAGCGACACTTGCTTTTTATCATGCCGTTTAATGCACGATCCATTTTCATGATTTGGACAAGACCCGAATCGTTGAAAAATCAAACAAGGCTGATTATTCTTGTGCATTTTATTTCGTAAAATTCGTATGCTTCTTTGTTTTACTTTGTTGCTAGGAGAAGGAAAGTGAAGAAATTTGTATCAAAAACCAATAAATCCAGCTTAGTTCATATGTATTATGACTTGATATATACTGTACCTGATACTATTTTTGTAAGTAACTTTTGGAGATACATTGAAAGTAAGTCGTGTTTTATTGATATTTGTTTCTAATGTGCGATTTAAAGATTCTTTACTCAATCGTTGTTTTTTATTATTAATAGTAACACTAAGTTTATCATTCTTTCCACTGAATGATCGTTTCCCTAAATTTACAGAAAATTGATGAAATATATATTTATAAATTAAAGAACTATTTACCAAACAATGATAAAATTAAATATGAAACTTTGATACACATACGTTTTAACAAAGAATTTCTGCGAATTAATTTATTTTTGGAAGCTCTATAAACAATACCACCAATAGTAACAAGTTTTTTTGTGTCGTTTCTGTAAAAAAAAGTATAAAGTTTCCAATTTTATAAATTACTTATTTTATAATTCATTAGAATAACATTACATAACGTTACTTACACATCTTTCCGTATTTCTAAAAGACCGGTCTCTTTAGCTTTTGATATATGTAATTTAGTTCTATCTATTTTATATTTGGTTACTTTAGATTTGTTATTTATTACCATTTTAGATTTATTGATACCTGATTTTGAGACCATTTTTGTACCATATTTGTATTGCAATTTATTATTTATTAATTGTTTCGTTTTCATAACTTTCTGCGTTATTGTTTCCAATTTTTTTATCTTTTAACTCTGCACATTTTGATGATCTACGTTGATGTAATGGAGAAATTCTTGATGCATTTTTTGTAGTAGATACTCTTACGAGTTTTCTACGTGATAAAAGTACAATGCTAGAATTGCTAGTCTTCCTAGGAGAAATCTTTCGATTATCAATATTTTTCACAAATTTCAATCTTGAGCAAACGGGACGTTCTGTTATAACTGATTCTTTAGAATTTGTTGACTTTTCTTTAGACGAGGACAATTTCTTCAACAATGTTGGATTAACATATATGGATCTCTTGACATTCGGCTGTACAGCACTACTGTCTATGTTTATTTTTGTCGTAGTCGCGTTTGTTATACTTATATTGTTTTGTAGATTTTGATTTGCATTAGAAATGTCATGCATCATTTTTGGATTAATGTGTATTAAAGGTTTAGTATGGATATTTGGATTGATATGTACCGTTGGCTTTTGTTTAAAATTTGGATTAACATAAACATTTGTGGAGAGCAACTTTGACTTTACAGCTGGGTTTTTAAATTTTGAATCTGCGGGTAGCATTTTAGAATTCAAAGAAAAATCACGAGATAGATCTGATTGAACTTTCAATTTCATAAATTTAAGATTCCTGTTTGAACGATTAGTTTTTTCATTAGACTGCAAAATTGTCTGTGTCTTTTGTTTGTATTGCTCTATTTGACCTGTAATTATATATAAAATAATTCTATATAATTCTACATTATTAAATAACAAAAAAGATTGTTTTATCTTAATAACAAAAAAAATAACAAAATTTGTCTCTTAAAATAATTTGTTATAAAAACTTTAAATATTAAAAAGAGAAGTGATTCATAAAAATCAAGTCTGGAAAATTTATTCTAAACTTATTAGTCTAATCTTAATAAGATAATTCACTATAGTAAATATTAACAAGCATAAATATTAATACTCTTATCAAGATGTAAAATTTAACAGATTGCAATTTAAGATACATATTATATGAAATGTCACGTTATCATTATTACGTTAAATCAAATTGTTTCTTGTCCTATCTACAAATGTTAACCTGTTAATAAACTGTTACCATTATCTTTGTTGTCATTGTTATTTCAATTCAGTTTGTTTTTCAAAAATTTGTCCTAACAAGAATAATTCTAGGTACAAATTGATAGGACGATATTTAAATCTAGGATGATATTTAAAATCTTCAAACTTTTAATTTAAATAATTACATATATATATATATATATATATATATATATATATATAGTATCTAAATTTTGTAAATTTGTTGTATAATAAATTTCATAATTATCTTGTACAGTTACAAGAGATTTGTCACGAAAAGTATCACTACAGCTAAGATGATCAGAAATTGTATATCTATCGTTGTATATACATTGATTAATATTCATTTACATTCTGTTAAATGGAATGGCAGATTTTGCTCAGTTTACACTAACAATTCGCTGTCAGATTATCATTAGCACGCTCTGTGGATTAAATGTTACATGTTTAACGCAACAGACACAGCTTGATGCCTAATGTGTCACAACACATTGCTTTAAATGCTTTCAAACTAATAAGCTAACATTTTGTAAATTAGGAAGTGCTTCTCATCGAGATTCGAAGAGAACGAATAAAACAAAAACATTTACTCATAATCCTTAATAAGAAAAGGTTATTAATTTACTTTCCAAGAAATTGCGAGCTTACTTTTTAAATAATGAATCTCGTTCAATATGTTGACTTCTGTACTTGCGGAAGATGGAACTCCCATTTCCAAAATTTCGACGATCTCGCTTAAGAAATATTGTTTTCTCGAAATGCGATCGTATCTTTGTGCAATTCCTTTTCCTCTTCTTTATTGGATTCTTATCCTTTTGGGTTTGGGATCTTTCGGTTAATCCGATCACGAAAAAACGACGATATCACAAGCAGCTGGTTTAATGGAGACTTCACACGATTTGTCATCCGATATATGTATGTATGTATGTGTGTGTATATGATGTCTCCTATATCCAATACATTTTCTAAAGCAAAAGTATTGCTACTGAGAACTCTAAATCCCGATCTACAATAGGTGATTTAAGCCTTAAGCTATAAGAAATGGACGAATCACAGTCAAAGGATAGAAGAATACTCGACTATGATTGGTCAATTTCTTATGACTTAGGTGCCGTCACATGCGGCGTAACTTGCGTAAGCGTAATCTGCATATTCTAGTATTTTACTAAAACACGTTACGCCATTTTACTAAAACACGTTACGCCATTCTGAAAACTTTCTTTCACATAGAGTGTATTTCGCGGAATTCGAGAAATTTCGAGAAATGCGTAATTAATACAATCAATTGCTGATTAGGGTTTCTGTTGTACTCTCTAACAGAAATGCTAAACTAATTTGTGATTGGTTTTTGTAATCTGCGTATCTGGAAAAGTACGCTTCATGGGGAACCGGACTTTATGTACGAGTATGTGTACGAACAAGTCAAGTAGATGTGAATCTAATCTATGAGAATGTATTCAGAAGTCATTATGGACTCTGACCTGTTGTTATTAATAATATGGAATGCCAAAAGTGGAAGAAGATGAAACAATCTCAACAACAGAAAATTAGACGATATAATATTTTAAAATTGTTTGGAATATGGAAACTGATGGTATACCAACAGGAAAAAGTTCGTCATAGAAATGTGAGTGCGTCCGATATTCGCAGAAAGACGAAGATTATTACAGGGTGACAGTGACAATCGGGTGACACCCGTTTGACCACGTCCCGATTGACCACGTCCCGATTGACCACTTACAGGAGCTGGCGCCTAGAATTTTTCCACTGTTCAAGCGCTGTGAGTGGCTAGTGATCAATCATGACGTGGTCAAACGGGTGTCACCTGTGGTCAAAAAAATGGAATTTGAAGATTACGAAATGTTCTACAATTATTGTAGAATGTCCATAGAAATGTTTAATCAGTTGTTAGATATTGTATGTTGGACCACGCGAAAAACATAAATTAATTAATATATATATATTTATTATTAATTAATTTGATATGATGATTTAATTAATCATTACTATATTAATTAATTAACTTAATTAACTTTCTTAATTAACTTAATTAACTTCCTGATTTGATCTTTATTCATTTTGCGAAAAGCTCTAATTATTCACTGTGTGTGTATTTCCTTCGCAAAAAAATTAAACTCAGCGTAGCAATAATAGCGTAAACAGCATAAAGTAACTAGGCGGATCTGATGTCAACTGAAACGATGTGATTGATCGGCGCAAGTTACACTGACGCAAGTTACGGCGCATATGATGGTACTCCGATTCCCCATGCACGTAACTTGCGTAAGCGTAAACTGCGTCATCCAATCAAATTGTCTCAGCTATTCTATATAAATCCGTTTAGACTCTTATTAGACGATTTGATTGGTTGATGCAGTTTATGCTTATCAAGTTAAGGCTGCATGGGGAATCACCCTAATTTATATAGATACGCTACTGTTTCTTTTCTCTAGACAATTCAACCAATAAGAATATAATAGAGAAATCCTATACATGCCTATACATTTACTTTTGTTTTTCTAGATCTGTCATGAAAGAAATTTTACCGAATACTCCAGTATTATGTCAACGGTAGTTGCGAAAGTGTTATACGAATATCAATTAACATAACCCAACTTGATATGATTTATCTTGCATTTAATAAAAATATACATACACTTCGATCATTTTATAGATGATGGATTTAATGAGTAACAGATTTAATTATGTACGACAAAACAGAAAGTTATCTATCTATGCTTTTAATTGCTTTTTTTCATTTCGAACGTTTCTCCAGTTTTTCATCACCACATGATGCATAAATACGAGTTTACACAAGTTGACACATGTAATCACGTCTATCATAATTTACAAATTTAGTACAAAAATATAAGTAGATTTATGTGGCTGTTAAACAATGGAGGATTTTGCAGATAGTGTAGCTAGACTTTGCATGGAAAAATATAACTTTCTAAAAAAAACGGGTAAACCCAACGTTCACGAATGGACCGTATTATCTGGCATAGTTTTGAAAAACGCTGATAGCTCATTGTCTCTGGTAGCACTCGCCACTGGAACAAAATGTTTAGGAGAATCGGAATTAATGAATACTCAAGAGGAAAAAGGTTCTCGATTGAGTGACTGTCATGCAGAAGTTCTAGCTAGACGTGCATTTATACGTTACTTATATGATCAAATTGATTTGACTTTGAACGGCTCTGAGAGCATAATTTTTTCGCGGAATCACGAAAATAAGATAGAATTAAATAGTAGCATATCATTTCACTTCTTTTCAAGCCAAACGCCTTGTGGAGACTGTTCCATTTTCCCTAAACAAGAAATAAATGATGAGGATGACATGCCTCCATGTAAAGTCAGATGTGTCAATGAAGATATTAATGGACGCATAATCACCGAATCATGTCACAAAGATATATATAGAACAGGTGCAAAATGTGTGAAGGGAGAGGAAGCGCAGGATCCTCATTTGCCTGGTTTGGATTATCATATCGTAGGTCCTTTACGTACAAAACCAGGTAGAGGAGATCCCACAAGCAGCCTATCTTGTTCGGATAAAATAGCAAAGTAAGTTGTAAATTATGTTTGTAAATAGATATTGCAAAATATTAATATAAACTAATAATACATCACTTCCTTTGGCTTAAGATGGCTTTGTCTTGGTTTACAAGGATCACTATTATCATTGTTAATACCACCAATAATGCTAGAGAGCATTACAATTGGAGGTTGTTGTCCGTTTTCTCTGGATGCCATGGAACGTGGACTTTATAAGAGGTTTGATAATAAAGTAGTTAGAATTAAAATTTTTCAAACAAAAATTAGTTTTATACACAAGAAAGGACAACAGAGGTTACATCCCTGTCCAATAAGCATCATATGGTGTGCTGTAAGAAACAGGTATCAATATAAAAATATTTGTACTATGTATCATAGTTCATATCAATATCACTTATTTATATGCGACTTAGGTACTTTGCACATTACAGTGCACTAGAAGTGGCAGTCGCGGGCAGAAAACAGGGAGTAACGAAAAAGAGAAAAGGTAGTAATTTACTTGTAACCAGACGGATGCTTCTGCAACGCTTCTTGCAAATTTTTGATAAATATCAAGATTACTATAGCGAAATAAAACATCCGAAGAAGATTACATATTACGATTGGAAGCAATGGTCAATAATTTATCAAAATAAGTGGAAACAATTAAAATGTGGATCATTCCATAATTGGCCATGTAAAACGGCACATTTACAACATTTTGTATTATGAAGTTACTTCATAAATGATTAAATAGCTTTATGTATATAGAATGTATTAAAAGTAAGAGAAATTTATATACACACATGCGCACGCCACACACACACACACACACTCGCGCGCGCGCGCGCGTGTGTGTGTGTGTGTGTGTGTGTGTATATATATGCATGTGTGTATTTAGTCTTCTTTATTTTGTACATTTCCTCGGAGAAGACGTTTTGAAACGTCCTCCGTAGCTTAGAGAGAGCAAGATTCGATATCTAAGAAGAATTCGCTTTTTAGGGTTCCTAGATAGTAACACTTTTGTCTCTAGAATAGATATCATATTCTTCTATTGGATATCAGACATGGTATATCAGGGGGTCGATCATGTAACTTTTCTCCTAGGGCGGAAACGTGAAAAGTGAAAAGTTTTACGTGAATTTACGATTATGTACGATTTTGCAGGATCATGTAACTCTCTCAAACGTGACAATGTGAAATTTTTCATGTGAACTTTTTCGCCATGTATCTTGGTGGCGGAAAGGCGAAAATCTAGGGAATTAATAAATATGCTTCGGAATTAGAGAAGATTAGGGCTGCGTTAGGATTAAGTGTACATAGTACATATACAATTGGTTATTAAAAGATGTATATAATATTGTACCAATAAAATAATTTTCATTAGCTATAAAAACCTGTATAAAAAAATGTTTCATGATTTCACTTTCCACGCATCCAAGCTACATAATCGCTGTACGTGAAAAGTTTCACGTGAAATGTCAAGATATAAAAAATGAAAAGTAAAAAGTGAAAAATTTCACGTAAAGTTACATGATTATCTCGGAAGGTGTATGATCACGTGATCGATACGCAGAGATGAAAAGCACTGACACGGAGTGCCTATATTGGTTGTACTGTGTTATGTAGTTATGTCGCGCTATAAGTTAATTATCCAAATTTCAATATCTACTACGTAAATTGTTAGTGATGTGAGTGTTCACCTTTAAAAAATTTACTTGATGACATATGTATCGTATACATATGTATATATATACACACACACACACCTTTCTGAAAAATAGGATAAGAAAAAAAACGTTAATGTCAAGTGCAGTGTTAACATATGCACTAACACGACCAAGAATTCAAATTGCAGTTTTTTTCGTTATCCTAAAGATGTTGAAAGGTAATTTTTTATTTTTTTTTTTATTTTTAGTAAACCAAGTTAAGAGTTAGATTAAATTAAGCGAACTTTTATAAAATAAAAGAATATTTTTAATTACATAAATATTTTTAAGGGCGAAGGAATGGGCTATAGCATGTCTTCGGGAAGATCTTTTATCTAAGGCACACATATTGTATAACTGCTGTAGAGTTTGTAGCGATCATTTTGAGAGTATTATGTTTCTGAACGATTTAAGAAATAGATTATGTGCTCATGCGATTCCGACATTAAATATTATAAATAAAAGTAATAAGGAACAAAATGATCATGACTATGTTAAGGTTAGTAAGATACAAATTCTATAAATAAATTCAAATCAGAAGAGAATATGAAGTAAATATATTTTTCAATAGATGTGCATTATGACAAGTTAATATATAGAATGAGAATGAATAATAAAAATTGTTGCATTATTTTATGTGACATTACATAAATTGAGATTAACTTATTCAAACATAATTTATTCAAATAAGTCATTCCCAATATATAATATTTTATTTTTCTTTTTATTTTATTATGCTGCAATATAATTACTATATTATAATCTGCAATTATAACAATTTTGTTTTATAGAGTAAAACAGATGTGGCAGTACTATCATCGTTACCTATCCATGTTTATAAATCAACACCTCTATCGCCTTCACAGGTAACTATTAGCCATATATATATATATATATATATATATATATATATGTGTAAAGCATAAATATGAATTTAATTATAAGCCAGTTGAAGATAAATGTTATATTTGTAATTTACAGAGTACAAAATTCGTGTTACTAAATTTGCCAATTACTTCTACCTCACATGTAACTAATAAATTGGAGAATGTTCCAATAAAGCGGGAACTAACATCGATACAAACAAATATACATGCTGTACCTCTTCAACCTTCATCGGGACATCATAATCAACTTCACAATTTTACAAAATCTTCAGTTCATTGTACTTTGGAGCCTCCAACAAAAAAACAAAAATTAATGTGTTTTCATGAAGTACAAACTTTTAAACATCAATCATTAACATCTCAAGCAAACAAAAGTGTTCAAACATCATCTGCATTGATACATTGCAATCCACTTCAACTCAAATTGCAAAGAAAAATAAGAAGACTTGAAAAAAAATTAATTAAAATAGATAATAAAAATACAAAGTTAAAAATTAATCAATTACAAAAAGCAAGTTTGGATGATTTTAAAAATTTATGCGACAAATTTTTGCCTTATGACATAGCTGTATTCGTTAAAGAGCAACTTTTACTTTATACCAGAAAAATGCATGGCCAAAGATATTCCACAGAATTTAAAGAATATTGTCTTAATCTCTTTTTTAAAGCGCCAAAAATGTATCAGACTTTATCTTCAGTTTTCTATTTGCCATCACAAACAACATTAAATAGAATTATTAATAGAAAGTTGATCACAAAAAGTGGCATAAATCAAAATATCTTTGACATTATTTCGATAAAAACAAAAAATATGAAAGAAGCAGATACATATTGTATAATTTGTATTGATGAGATATTAATAAAACCTTATTTGTATTATAATACAAGTAAAGATGAAATTATAGGTTTGGTTGATGATGGTCGATGCAAATTATTCAATCCAGCAAGGCGAGCTTGTGTTTTTTTTGCGCAATCAATATTTGGCAATTGGAAGCAACCATTATTATATGTGTTTTCTGCATCTATGACTAAATATAAAATTTTGAACAAACTGTTAATACAATGCATTATTAACTTGCAAAATATTAATTTGAAAGTTGTGGCTGTAGTTTGTGATACGGGCTTTAATAATATGCAGTTGGCGGATCAACTTGGAATTACACAAGAAAATCCTTTCTTTGTAATAAATAATGCTACCATTTTTTTTATTTATGATGTGCCATATATACTTAAGACGCTTCGGAACATGTTTTTAAAATATAAGTTTAGATTTTTGGAATACTTCACTTCGGTTAAGTATATTGAAGAATTTTATAAACAAGATTGCAAATTTAATTATCGATTAGCACCAAAATTAACAAGTTCACACATCAATCCAAGTTCTCTTGACAAAATAAACGTTCGATATGCAGCTCAATTATTAAGTACATCGGTTACAACAGGTATGAATATGTATATTTATTTTAATAGATTACCTATTGAAGCTACAGGTACAGCCATCTTTATTGATCGAATCGATAAATTGTTTGATATCTTAAATTCAACTAAAAAATATAATGGAGAAAAAAAGTATGCTCATGTTTACAAAGGACAAGATTTTCAAATTGAATTTTTAAATGATTGTCTTCATTTCTTTGAATTATTACAAGTTATTGATACTACAGGATTAAATATAACTAATGGTATGAAATTTATTCCAGCTTGGAAAATTACCATTTCTTCTATACAAAAAATATGGAATTTTGTGGAATCGAAAGGATTTCAATTTCTTCCAACGAGAAAACTAAATAAAGATGCACTTGAAGATTTTTTTGATAAGATTCGTTTGAAAGAAGGAAATTGTTTAAATCCGACATCGATTTCTTTTGTCAGAATGTTTAAACATTTACTTTGTAAAAATTTTTTAAATATTGATCACGAAAATTTTGAAGAAGATTTTAATAATATTTTAGTAGAAATTAAGGATTTAAAAAAAATTGAAAATATTAAATCTGAAGAAGAAATTGAGGTTTTTGACGATCTTACTACTGATGATACTGATTATCAAAAACTTGAATTAATAGAAAAAGATACGATTAAATATATTTGTAGATATTTAATAAAAAAATGTCTAACAAAACATACATGCACTATTTGCGAAGATTACAGTACAAATTATATTGAATTTGACGATTGTTCTGCTTTCTCTTTCTTTAAAGCAGACAACATGAATTTTTCTGATATTGAAAATTTTCACACGCCAGATTTTATTTATTATATTTGTAGTTTAGAAGCCATTTTTATTGACCATTTTGAAAAATTGGTTGTTGAACAGAATTTTATTAAAAATCTTTTAGTAGAATTCAACAAAGTCACTCTCATCCATCCATGTGATCAATTTCCACAAATGTATTTGAAAAAACTCTACAGCAGAATGCAATTATATTATACGTTAAAATTTATTAATCGCAATTTTAAATCGCCAATGAATCCAGAAAGGTTGATTATATGGAGACATGAATAATTTGTATTTTTTAAATTTTACTTTCCATTACTAATAAATGTTATATTTATGTAAATAATGAATTAAACGATTAAAGTAGAGATATATACATTTACATTTTATTAAAATTTATTTTCTTAATATTACTTCCTTTATACAACTTATATGGAATTTATTATTAAAATACTTTCATAATTTGTTCAATTAGATAAAACAATTTTATGTGTTTGTTTCATTTTTATCTAAATATTACATTTCTTTAATTTTTATTGTAACACTAAGAAAACTTTTTGTTTATAGTTTTTTAATTTTTTGATTTGTAAAAAAATTTTTTTTTCGTTGGTTTTTATTATTTTTTATTTTTATTTATTATTTTGTCTTTTTGTAAAATTTATGAAAATGAAAAAGTTATTGTTTACGATAAAATATATTAGGCGTACAAAAAAGTTCTGAGCTTTTTTTTGTAAAATTCAATCTTTATTCAAAAACAAACAAAAAAATATTAATCATCGAAATATTCCCTGTTTGCATCAACGACCTTTTGCCATCTTTCGGATAGCTTGCGAATTCCTTGACGATAGAAGCTCACCGTTTCGAAGCGATAAAGTCATCAATACATTTTCATATCTCTTCAAATCTCACAAAATGTGTATCAGCCAAATGATGCTGCAGCGACCGGAATAGGTAGTAATCGGAAGGCGCCATGTCTGGGCTATATGCCGCGTGCGGGAGAAGTTCCCAGCCTAACGCAAAGATATGATCCTGAGTCGCTTTCGCAACATGTGATCGAGCATTGTCATGAAGCAAGATCACTTTACGACGTCCTTGGCCAGTAGTAAATGGCCTCTTTTCCTCTAATGCATCGCTCAAATTGGTCAATTGTTGTTGGTAGCGACTGCCGTGATTGTTTCACCCGGTTGTAACAACTCGTAATACAACACACCGTTCCAATCCCACCAGATACAGAGCAAAATCTTCTTGGCGTGGATATTGGGCTTTGGCGTCGATGTCGAAGGTTGACCAGGGTCATCCCATGATTTTCTACGTTTAGGATTATCATAAAGAATCCACTTTTCATCGCCTGTAATGATGATTTTGTGCAGAATCTTTTTCCGGAACTTTGAAAGCAAAGTGAGTGCAGTGTCACGCCGATGATTTTGTTGTCTTCGGACAATTCATGCGGAACCCATCTGCCTTCCTTCTGAACCTTTCCCAACGTATGTAAACGTATGGAAATGGTTTGCTGCGTAACGCCAAGCTGTTCTGCAAGCTCCTTTTCAGTTTACGCAGAGTTTATATTCAGCAGTGCTTGCAATTCGTCCGTTTCAATCTTTTGAGGGCGTCCAGCACGCGGTCTGGATCTTCAAGACTGAAATCTCCTTGGCGAAATTTTTGATATCATCTTTTACATGTAGTATGACTTACAGCGTTCTCTCCATATGCAGCATAAATCATTGCAGTGGCTTCAGCAGTATTTTTCTTCAGATGAAACGCGAAGTGGATGGAAAATCGAATATGCTCTTTTGCCATCGTGAACACTACTGATTTTTGAGGTTATGTGCATCAAACGCCAAACCGTATGGCATTTTAGAAGGCCAAATGTCAACGCTTTAAAACCGCAAAAGGGCGGGAAGATATATAAAATTTAAATTGTTATTTCGGTTGTATGTAATCTAAAGCTCAGAACTTTTTTGTACACCTAATAAGTCTGTTCTTAGCCTGTTCTTTTTAGCTCAACCGATCATTTTTCTTGTTCTTTTTTCAAATTAATAGAAAAAAGGAAAGATGAATAGTGCAAGAAGTTCAGTTAAAAAAACAGGATGAAACGCGAAGTGGATTTTTATTGGTCAATTATATTTAAGAATTACCAATGGGGATACTTTAGTCACGCCAAAAATCGCCAATGATGGCGCCCGATTGCCCACGTTACCAATTTAAATAAAATTATTTAATTGGTTGATCCGATAGAAAATTTTCAGGCATTGATCACTGTAAGTAGCTGTGCCCAATTGCAACGTGTTCAAATGTGACGTTCCTAATCGCCAATATATGAAAAGTACATAGACCTTGTATTCACGATGTTAGAAATCGGTTCGAGATCTCGGATGGAAAGAGAATTGATCAATCACATTGATAAATTGGCCGAATTATTCAAACGCAATTGGTCAATTTTTTTTTTACATTCGAAATCTTGGACCGATTTCTAGTATCGTGGACACAAAGCATTAAATGGTGTCTACAATGAGACTTTAATGCTCGATTCCACCAACGTAGATTAATTTTAATCTCGGTTCAATTTACTCTTCATCTTTTTCTAGTTCTAAGAATTATAGAAAGATAAAGAGCAAGTTAAATCGAGATTAAAGTAAATCTACTAAATGGAGTTGGGCATAAGATGTAAGATTTAAGAAATTGGTCAATTACAATCGAGTATTCTTCTATAAATCGATTGTGATTGGTCAATTTCTTAAGTCTCACGTCTTAAAGTCTCATTGTAGACACCGCTCTACATTGGAACAAGAAAGATAAACTCTAAACTCTGAACTAGTACAGCCAGTTAAAAAGAACAGACCCAATATTGGGGGTCAGGTTCATCGTATGTTTTACGCATGCGCGGTTGTACGGTTGACGGAAAGTAACGGGAGAGTGAGGAGTGCGGTGAAGACAGCGTAATAAGAAAGAGAGTTGATTGAGAAAGCGGTCCTGAAGTAGAACGAAAAATAGGGTGATTCGCGTCTTAGTCGTTATCATTCGATACGCGAGTTAATTTTCCGTAAGATCCGGGGGACACGATTATTAATATAAATTTTAACGATGGAGGACGTTGCACGTGAGCCAGAAGCGATGCTGCCCGATCGCGGTGCCGCGTGCTTGAATGTAAACATGACGTCGGTGGACTCGGGCGTCGAGACTGGGAATGACTCGAATGATAGCTCGATCATTCAGTCTGATGGCCAGCAGCAGCTGCAAGCCGTCGAGAACGAGGATGTCACGGCGAACATCAACACGATCTTCACTAGAGAACTTTTGAGACCGTGCAGCATGCCCTCTTTTGTTCCATTCGTCATTCCGGAAGTTCCCGTCTGTTATTGTGAAAAAAAGTATCCCAAGAATTGCGACATCGAGCAGAGCTGCCCGTCCAACCCCGACTTTTTACTAGACAAGCTGAGAGTCTGCAATGCCAAGGTTACCCATCGTCCCAATTATAGTCGAAAATATATGTCGCGTGGGACTCGATGCGAGAACTTCGAAGAGTATTCTCCTGATAAAAAATAAATAAGAGATAACAATAGAAGATAGTTTAGCTTAGAACTTACTAATGATATAGATTTTTGTACAATTTTTTGTTGAATGTATAGCTAGATATAGAATAAAGGAGAATGTACAGCTATGTAGAATAAGTTTTAATATTAGATTTAATATAACTGGGACAATTATTATAAATGTTAGATTGAAAGAATGTTATCCCGTTTCAGATACAGTTTAAGACAAAACTATTGCAAGCTGCGAACAAAACTAGCTCTCTGCCAATAAGATTTAGTAAGTATTTTTATAAATTTTGATCAAATTGTGATTATATTTTGGTTATATGTTTATGACTTCAAAAAAAATTATATTATGTTCCTTATTATCTTTTTAGATTTTTTGAAATATTTTTTTTCCTTTAAACAAATGTCAATTTGTATAAATAATTCATAATAAAAATATAAATGTTATATAATGATAATAATTTTATAATGCAGAATATAATTACCACTCTAAGATAAAAACACGCTGGCGCATGAACCATTTTGATCGTATGGTGTTCCTTGAACGAAGAATACGATTGGCTGCTACCACAAATAACATAGACTTGTTGAAAAGACTTTTGGACCTTGGTGTGTCACCTAACTGTCATGATAATCATGGACGAACTCCACTTCATCTTGCAGCTTGCCGGTGAATTTATATGTTTGATTAAAAAATTTGTTGATATATCTTTAAAATTATTTATTATCTTATTTTTAATTTAAACAAAAGCTTAATTTTTTTAAGGTATGTTGGTAATAGTAATAGCTCAAAATTAAATTGCAATTTAAATTTTATGTTTTCTTTTGTAGAGGTTACACGGATATAGTCCGTTTATTGTTGGAACATGGCGCGGATCCGAATCAACGTGACTGTATAGGAAATACACCGCTACATCTAGCTGCAGTTACTAGCAAACTGTCTGTAGTAACATTACTTTTAACAGCCGGTACTGATGTTCTTGCATCAGATACATTTGGGTACAATCCGTTGCAATTAGCAAAAACAAAGTTACGAATGCTGCAACGAAACTGTCATACCGAGGACATGATTAAGATCAAAGATGAAATGCGTAATATAATTAGCATGTTGATGGTATATCTGCAAAAGCAGAAGAATATGCGAGAACAGGTAGAAACCTTGAGCAATTTCTGCTCGCGACTTTCCTTGTCCAGTACTTCAGATCAAGTTCAGGATGATGTTAAAGACTTATTGGCGAACCTAAATGATCTCAGTATAACGGGTTAATTATGGATTAATAAGATATACTGTTGTATATCGCTATAATATTATACATACATATATAATATTTGCAAATTTGGTATCATCTTTTTTTTGAAGTTTTTATTGAGCATATGAAGCATGTTGGAAAATTATTGTATGTTTACATGCCTTTGTGCATGTCCGTGTTAATAATTTTGTTTATCGAAGATAGTAATTTTCATATTTCAAATAGGTTTTTTCTTTTTATAAAAAGTTCTATATTTGCTGAACATTTAATTAATTTTGAATTATTTAATATGACGTATATTTTGAAGATATTAAAACGCCATTAAATATTTAGAATTCTTTTTCCTCTAATTGTGCGAATTTAAATTTTTTTTAAATCACATGATTATACATTAAAAAGCAGACAAAAATCGACATCAGTGTTAGTTTGTATTTTGCGCTTTTATAATGATGAAAGACTAAAAAATAAGATTTATGTAGAATGTAAAGAGGGTATTTAAAAAATATTAATCTATTCTGATATATATTTTATCGATATTTCTCTATTAAATTTCTTTAAATTATATTTGTTTTATTTCTAAAATGACGAAATAAGAAAGACTAATATAAAAACCCTAACAACACATGTAGATTCTGAAAATGTTTGAAAGATATCGCAAACGTAGATCAATATATTCCTTGTAATTGTACTGAAAATGTTCATATATTTACATTTTTTACTATCTGAAGAATCTTGAATTTTTTTGAACCTACGTGTGCCATTAAGGAATGAAAGAAAGGAGGGAATTTTTCCTATGATAAAAATTAAATTTTATAAATATAAAAACTAGAGAAATTGTATATAGAGAGAGAATCATCCTGTGAATATATATTGTATGACGTCTACGTGCTTGTGATCATTGAAAAACGAATTAGTAATATAATTTGAATAACATATAACTAGTTATATAACTGAAACTAAGTAGAATATGAAAATGAAAGAACAAGTGAAGACATACCTAATAAATAATTTGATTATTTGTATGTAAACTCCAGTTATATAGGAATATGTAAATAGTTTTCATAATCATTTTACGGACGCTGTCCACAGTACATCTTTAACTGTAGCTTTGTTAAGTGTAAAAAAAAAAAGATATGAATAAAACACATTCTACATACTTTACAATTTCTTATTTTTATTTATATGTAAATATGTCAATAATTCTGACACTTCAACACGTTGCAAATTTAGAAAGTTTCAAATCTAAGTTAAATTTAATTTAAATTTATATTAACATCTTGCCAAATGAAAAATCACACTTTGTGTCTTTCTGTAGTGTTCTAAATACAAAGTCAACAAAATTTTGAAGGAAAGGGAATAATAGTCTAATTTCACAAATTCATTGTATATCTTTAATATTTGTATAATTTTAAAGATAATTCGAAAGATAATTCGAAACAAGAGACAACCAAAGGAGCCAAGCACAAGAGGAGCAGCCTCCCTCGTCGTCCTCGTGGCCTTGATTTCTTCGCGCGTGGTGACGCAGCGTTGTGCTGCCATCGGTGAGCAATGCGCGTGGTGTAGCGGCAGAGTGGCAGAGTGGCAGAGTAGCGTGCATTCAAAACTCGAGAAAGACGAGGGATACAGGGGAGGGGGAGGCGTCGTGGGTGGTCTGCCTGCCGACCCGGGAACGCGACGCGTGTGTGGTCCGCGCTGTTCCGTGCGCTTCGTGAGTGCGTCTGTCGTCTCGATTGTGGTAGAAGATGCGAAACGCTCCGCCTGAACGAGACGCAGACCTTGCCTCCTGGTTGACCGAGATCATCCGTGGCAACGATTCGTGATCGCGACCGCGCGAAAGGTACGCATCTCCGGCTCTAAATGTCCCATTGTTTACTTGTGGTGCATTTATTTCCCACGTGACTTCTTTCGGGATTAATCAATTATCAAGCGTCAGTCAAGCGTCGGTCGAGCGTCTTGGAAAAGGAAAAGCTCATATACACGTGAGAAAGAAAACAAAAATGTAAAATTTTCTCTACGGTCTTCTCGAAGCCTTTTCTTACATTTTTTTTCTCTATATTAAATTTCTTTTTTAAATGCAAAAAATTTTTGACTTTCTTCTGGAAGAAAGTAGGAAAACTTTTTTTTCTCCTTATTTATAGATGATATTCTTGCTGGTCTTTTTGTGCTTGTTTCGCGGTTTGTCCTCGGAATTGGAGCATGGATTTACAGCAAACGATAATGAAAATAATACATGGAAAGGCATGGATTTGGGCCGGCATATAATCAAAGATTCTAATTATCTGCTAGATAGATATCCCATAGGCGAGTTGTCACCGGATATATCGACCTGCCGCAGACCTGCCAAATGCATTCCATTATCCAAAAGCACCTGTATGGGCACGAAATTGCCTTATACCTCTACCACATTGGATCTTATATCAGAGCGTGTAACTCAAGATATTATTGAGGTAGATGAATTTACTATTGCTCCTCTCACAGTGATAACATTCTCTTTTCCTTTGATTCCATTCTATTTTCCTTTGATCAAATATAATCTTTGAATACTTGTGCAAGTTTCAATGTTTAAGTATCAAGCATTCGAGACTGTTATTTTTAATACTCATAGACCTGTCTTTCTAATAGTACACGCCGTATCAAGATAAAAAAATAATATCTTGTTATATCAACTGTATTTGAATATTTCCTTCTATTTTAGTTTTTAATACATTTATTAATAACAGATTGTTATTGCTTATTGCATGTTATATTAAATATTGTATTATATTAGTCTTTTTTCTATATATATATATATATATATATATATATATATATATATATATA